TGTGTGTGTGTGTGTGTGTGTGTGTGTTGGACAGTTCTTAAAAAGAAAGCAAGAATGAAAGAAGATAAAAGAATTATTTTCCTCTGAGGGCTATAAATTCTAACTTATCATCGGCTGACCTGTCTGTTTGAATAAGAATCAACACAAGTGCAGAATATCATAATAAGCGAAATAGTAACTTCAACATCGCGAGAAAGTTTGAGTGAACAAAAGCGGGATGGGAGCCGAGTAGGTCCACTTTTATACTACTACATGAGCATCCAAGCGAAAAAGATATTTTGGTACTAGCCTAGTTATAAATATAGTATTAGGAGGCTTACAAACAAATCCTTTCACCGCTTCTCACAACTAGGGCTGGGCAATGAATCGCTTTAGTAAAATCCGGAGAGTATGTTAGTGCACCTCTTCGGCAAATAACATGTCAAGAACCGCTTTGGCAAAAGGGTTAGAACCGAGGTGGTGATTAGTTTAGCGCCTCGGTTAGAACCAATTCGACAAACGGGTTAGCATCACGTCAACAAGTGTGGGTGCACCCACTTCGGCAAACGGGTCAGGAAAGAGAGTTAAAAGTCTGAATTCGGATAATGTTTCATTGATTAACCGGATACTTTATCCGAATTTTGCCCACCTCTTCTCACAACAGGAAGAGATTTGGCCTACTTTGCCTGTTTCTGAGAAGAAACAGATCCGCTTTCCTTCATCGCTTCCCTTGTCTGTGGCCCACGGCGGGGGGCCATTATGTAGGCTACCCCACAGAATTCTACACTTAAGATTAAGAACGGGCACTGTACCACGTGACCTGTGAGGAATTGAGGACCGAAAACAATGGTGTAGTGAGGGCAAGATTGACCGTTTTCGGAAGTAACCCTATAGCTTTTAAAACAAGAGAGTAGAACTCTGTGAGGCTACCTCATATTCATCCCATCAGTTACAGAAACTAAACCATGTCACAGTATTTACATGAAGTACTTTTTTCTTTTCAAATGATTGCATTTAACATGATTTTTAATGTTTTACAAATGTTCAGATCATTTAAACATGAAATGAATTAATCGATATTGATAAAATTACAGTGTTGTCATTGTAAGATAGATCTTGTCCAATTAATGCCCATACAATTACCGTGGAATAGCCTTACCTTGGCCTTGACACAGCACAAAATTATAGGCTAATCATGCTAATGCATGGACAGTATGAATATGAATAAGTTGGGGCATTGGGTTTCTTTGTTTTTGTTTTGTTTTGTGTGTTTGTTTGTTTGTTGTTGTTTTTTTTTGGGGGGGGGGTGTTTCTGTTTGTTTTTGTTTGTTTGTTTCCTTTCTTTTTTCTCGATGTTAATACTCTTAGCAGGTCCTTTAGCTTTTGTTTCCTTTCAAGTTGTGAAACAATTTATTTAAACGTGCCGGGAAGGACGTAGTGGAGTCCTCTTATATAGGAAGTTAGTTCATTGTTTGGTTGGTTGGTTGGTAAGATGGTTGGGTTTTTTTTGGAGGTTTTTTTTTTGCGGGTTTTGGGGGTTTGTTTGTATTCTGTTGTTGTTGTTGTTGTTGTTTGTGTGTGTTGTTTTGTTGTTGTTGGGGGGTGTGTTTTTTTTGGGG